CCCCAAAACCCCAAAACCCCAAAACCCCAAAACCCCGTAATATCTTTAAATCTTGAATTTAAACTAGCCTTTTTATTTTCTTTTTTTTTCTAATATCTTCAACTTTCTTCTGTAATTGTCTGATATACTTGAAATCAGTCTGCTTGATCTTCTGCTGAACAAAGGGCTTCCATAGATCTCTATTTAGTCTGGCGTCTAAGACCAGCTCTATCATCTTCTCATGTGTCAGGAACATCCTAGGTCGCTCTGATAGCTGCACTAGGCCTAGAGGGTTAGTAGAGGGATAGTATGGTCGTCAGGCTTAGCTTTTTCCTTTATTCATGTTCTTCTAGAGGAAGAAGTTGGTACTTGTCCGTCTGATCTCTTCTCGCTTCATCTCTGTGATTATACGTGCTCGAGTCTTGTGGTAGTCGTGGAGATGTTTGATTTTCAAGTAGAATCTAGAGTGACAAACTTACTTACTTTGTCTCTCTGATATACATGTTCCGAACTTCGTAAGGGACAATGAAGTTAATATCTCCCTCCCATTCTTTCCTGATTTTGATGATGTCTAGATTAGCTTTCTTGTCTCTCCTGGCGCCATAACTGAAGATCGCATTTTCAAGTAGGAACCAGTGGAAATGAGTGATTATCTGAACTAATTTTCTTCTAAACAGAAGCTTCTTAAACACATTTTTGATTCTTCTTAAATCCTGAGATGTTATCAGGATCATTTCTGAGATATTCTTGCATTGAGAATTATACTTATCAATAAAGGCTAGCTCTTTGTCCTCTCTGATCCTCTGAAGTAACTTCCTTAGCTTCCATCTCTTCACAAGGGGAACTAAGAGCTTCCCTAAGGCAATGGTAGCATGTCTCTTGCGGATCTCTCTAAGAGATATAAGAAACTTGCCTGCTGCTTTCATCATCACAATGAACCATCTGCACAGTTTGTTTGATGAATACCTGATCTTTTTATTTTATCATAAATTTCGCTCAGATATCCTCGCAGATTGCCTTCTTCATACAATGTGTCAGATATTTATCATTTATTATACAATATTTGCTCTTTTGCCAGTTGGAATGGGCTGACATCCTGATGTCTACAGCTGAGTGCTAAAGCTTACCAAAAGTAGTCTTCCGCATCTGGGATGCTTTCTCGGACTTGTCATGATAATTACTAATGATATTAGTATATCTCTCCAGTACTTCCTGTCGTCTGTTATTCTGTTTCTTAGCATTTTCTTGAATCCTCTGCTTATTTTTGAAAACTTCAGGGCTGGTATCTGGCAAGAGCCTATTAAAGTCATTCTGGATATGGGTTGATCTATTAAGAGAGGGCTCACAAGCTTCAATGTTTTTCATGATAATATCTGACTTAAACATGCTCTGTTTCCCTAAGAAGATCTTCAAATAATGTTCTTTATCATATTGCTTCAAGTGCAGATGTCTAAATTTTTGGAATCCTCTATGAGATGTCTCTTTAATTCCAGTCTTCAGCTTGCTATTTTTCATAAATTTGCTTGAAGAGTTTGGTCAGCCTCTCCTTTTTATTCAGTCGAGAGGTGTTCTTTTCATATAAATTTGGAGCATTTTTAGGCTTTCTTTTGTGCTCCATATATTTTAAATCTATACTTCTTTGACTAAATTGGAATGATCTAGATTTTCGGTGCCGTGTAGTGCTGGTATCTGTCGGTTTGTAGTATCCTGGACCTACTGGGTCACTCTCTTTATCTTTGAAAGTAGTGATGCTGTCTTTTGTCATGGAAAATGAGCCAAATTTTGTTTCCTCCTTTATTGTGTCCTTAAAGGAACCTAGATTTGTTGATTGCTAAATTTACTGATCCCCTCTCTTGTGTTAGAAGTCTGATTAAACATTTTTCTCTCACTTCTTGGGAAAGTAAATCCTTCAGAGTGGAAATGGGAACTAAATTTTTCATTTCCACCATTGAAATAACTATCAGGGGCTGGAATAAAATCCTTCTGTTTAGTTCTACAGTATAAAAATGTTGTTACTGAAATAGATCAAACACTTCTGGTTTTCCAAACCTTTGAGCCTTGCCGCTGATCAAGTCTGAAGGAATGAAATACCCTCATGGGCCTGGAGTATTGTCTCTATGAGAAGTATCTTGATAAAATCTTCCTGTTCTGGGTTGGAATGGAACACTAGAAGTTCTTCTACCCAAACTTGAGCTTTTAAGATTTCCTATAAAAGTCACATCAAATAAGATTTCAGAAACTGTGGCTAACTCTGATAATATTTCTAGATTGGAGCCTTACGTCTTCGATCTGTCGAAATTCTACGACTGGTTTTCGGAGACACAGATAAAATTCCTGTCTCTGTTATAAATAATTTTTTCATTTTATTTCAATTTAACTTAATATTTTGGGGTTTTGGGGTTTTGGGGTTTTGGGG